AAGTTTGCAAACCCCGAAGCTCTGGGCGCTAACGGAGAGTCAGGGCGACTAGAACGTGCCTTAAAGGAGTATTTCAAAGTATATAATATATACACATATTTGTCAAGAACAGTTTAAAAGGCTCTTTTTATTCTCTACTTCACAGCCGAAGGCTCCTGTCCCTCGATGGAAAACTAGACTTAGCCCCCACTGTCCCTCTCTGCATCTAAATGGAATCTGACGTTTAAATAAGCCCAGAGTACCTGTGCGGGGTGCTATACTCTGCTTCAAATGCAAAGTAAGAAATTTTGTACTGTGCAAGCGCCGCATCCTTCCAGCTCCCCCACAGGTCCGGAAATGGCTAACTCTTCACCAAGGGGGCGTCCCATCGCTGTCTTGCCTCGGTCAGTTCCCCCCACACCGGGCTCCATCCCTTTCCCCCAGGAAAACCTGTGTGGGTCCTCAGCCCCCCAGGCCCACAACTGGGAGTCAAAGCTGACCGAGTCATACGCTGTAGCACGTTTTAACACCTGCTCGACCGCTTAATTTCAAGAGCACCTGTCGTGGGTTTCATTATTATTATTATTTTTCATTGCAAAGGCTTCCGTTGTAACCGTTCTCTCTAAAAGATATATACATACATACACACACACACAAATATATATGTGTATGTATATACACATATATATATATACATTTTAAAAGATCACCTGTCATACCTACCTGAAATCACAGGAGGTAAGAGAAAAGACCTGAACAGTGGGTGACTGAGTCGCCACAAGAACGTGACCGAGGTTACAGTTTCAAGGGCATGATGCCGGTTTAATGCAGCAAGGTCCGCTAAGGGCGCCCAGCGCTCCCCCCCACCATGTGATGGGCGGGGCAGGGGGGATGGAGGAGGACTCCTCTAACCCAGGGCAAGGGTGAGGGAGACAAATTTGCTCTCTTGGGCAAAGTCAAATCACGCTTAAAAAAATAGGGGACTCAACCACCGTGGAAAAGGAAACAGGCCATCCTTCAATTTGGGGGACCCAAACTGGGGACACCGGGAATAATAGCCAATTGATTCTATATGAGCATTTCTGTGTCACCCCAAATCCAATTTGCAATTAAATGACCTTTATTGACTTTGTACTGGTTCTGGGGGAAAACAGCTCAAAGCCTCAGTGCCTCTTTGACCTCCCTTAAACAGTTAATTATAATATTCCAGTCCCAGGCTAGTGCAATTGCTAAAAAGGCCCGTTTCCAAACAGTAGGCATAAATGGGCCTACCTAAATGGCTAACCCAAGCCTAAAACTCTTAGAATGCCTTATGCTCTACATCCTGAAGCGGACTTCTGTAAGTTAAGGGAGACCTCTCTGGCTTCCCCAAATCTTCCAAACCACTTCTGCCTACAGTCCTTGTGTTTTTGAGGAGAACTGCAGAACAGGTTAGCTATACAAAGCAAGGTGTCCAAGCAGCTGGCTTCAGAAGGAAGAGGAAGCAGAAGTGCCTGTTGTAAGACACACTCCGGGAATGGCAGCAATAACTGAGGGAAATAGTTCATTTCTTTTTAATCCCATAAAAAACCTCTTAGAAGCACTGCTCTTTTTTTCAGACTTATTTGTTCTAACTATGACAAATCTCAAGAAGCCATTTTACGAGGAAGTCTTACTGACCCAAACACATTTCCTACTCTACCATTCCCTAAAACAGGAACACCTTTTCCTGACCTTTAGGAACTGATTTCTTTTTTCCAATTAGGAAAATGATTTATCTGGTTACTGTTGTCCGCTCTGTACTTTTTTGTTTCCTTTTCATTTTAAGCCCACGTTTTATAAGTTGCAACTAACAACATCGGCCTAGGAAATAAAACATATTCATCTCTTTCTCAACCCCACCACCCAGAGGATGGGTATTATAAATAGGGGTGTGGAAAAGGGATGAAGGATTAGAATCTCAACCAAGGGGGGATGTTTGTGCATAAGTGGGGGAGGGGAGAGCATCTTTGCTTTGGGGGGAGGTGGGGAGGAAGTACGGAGACATCCATCCAGGACCAGCAGTGTTAGGAGTAAATACTAAAGGGCTGATTATTTCTCACACCTTCCCCACGATAAAGCTAGACCTGCAACTGGTAATTCTGAGAGAAAACCCCCAGTCTCGACATCAGTTTCGCAAACTGGTACTTGAAAATGGAAAACGGAGAATGTATTCAACCTTCAATTTGCCACAGTTGTGCTGCTTTCGTATTAATTCTTCACAGACGTGAAATAGGTGGGTACGTAACAACGTGCTGGGCATAAATTAAGCAACAATGGCCACACCGCGGTACTCTCATGGTGGGCATTGCCACCTTGCCATGGCTAGCCCCCAACGCCCTTGGCAGAGTCGTGCGGAAAAGGCTGGAGGCGTGTTGGCTTTTCAAACCCAGAGGGTGGGTGCGGTGGAGAGCAGTGAGAAATTAACAACCCAGCTGGCTTTGTACCTTTCCCATCCTCTGCCTCTCAAGGACCAAAGGAGCGCTCTCACGCACACACTCACCCACACCCCCTCGTGCAAATAATTTAAACTTCTCTTGGGCAAAGCCAGCACCTCTATTCTCCACCACCGCCCCCTCCCGGCCTCCCCGCCCCGGGAACATCTTCCCCCTTTCCCACATCTATCCTGGACTCTCTCTTTTTTGCATTAGAAAGCCAGCTGGTTTCTCCTAAACCCTGAGAAATCACAAAAGTTAAAACGAAGCGTGTGCCTCTCGGCCCAGCTTCTCGTCCCCAACCATCTTTCTCTTGGCGTCAGTTTAACAATAGCTATTCAAGGAAGGAGGGGGCAACAAGAAGGGGGTGAAGGATACGTGGCCGAGTTGGCTCCTGGGGTGACTGCGAAGCCTCTAGGCTGCGAAGGGGTTCCCCTTCGCCCTGAAGGCGAAGGCAGCCGCGTAGGACCAAGGACAGGGCTTGGAATCCACTTCCCAGCGTCTAACACAGCGAGGCTCCCAGGCAGCCGCCACTTCACAGACACAGCTCCAAGGATCTTATTTACGCTTTTCTGAACAAAGGGAATCTCATATCCGGCACAGGCTTAAGAATTCGCCCCCAAATTGGCTATCGTCTATTACAATTGAATTATGGTAACTGGCGTCGGTGAATTAGAGCCCGCGTACCTAGTAATGATGAGTTTTGACAGCTTCTAACCACCCCAGCCCCAGCCCAGCCCCAGCCCTCAGGCGGCATGTACTTTTTTCAGTCAACTACAACTCAGCTGCCTGGTGCAGCATCTAAATTCCATCTGGCAATCCCATCTCCCAAGCACATGCTATCTGGTTAATGCAATTAAGCCTGGGGTTTTCGCTGGTCTAATCTGCAAGTTCAGGCTTCTGATTCCGCTTAATGATACTAAAGCCTCTCCGGTCCTTCGGTTTTTGCTTTGCAAAGTAGAGGCATGCATCCCCCAACACCCAAGTTATCCCTCTTTTCCCACGAAATGAACTTCCAACCTCAATCCTGAAGCTCACTCAACATCTAGTCTCCCATTGTACCCCTCCTCTTCCCTGGCCACATTTACCGCTTAAGTTTCTGCTACTGACATTTGTGAATATTCAGTACGTTAAGCATGCGTCCACCGTCTTTTCGTCTAGCTCTCTAGAATTTAAAAGCAGAGCAGTAGCTTTGAAATGAGACAAACATGTGCAATTAACTTCATATTCTGTATTCCGCTCACTTACAGGTTTTCTGGGTTTGCCAGCGCATCGCTGCAACTAATGATTAAAGAAACCAAACCGAAACTTACCTTTCTCCCTTAAGGTTTTTGTGTATGTGTGTTTTTAAAGTAACGGTGCAGTTCTCCCAATAAGGATGAGCAAGAAGCTGCTGGATAGTTCTCTTAAGACAGCACGAAACCTAAACTGTGCTCGGCTTAAAAGAAGCAAATAAAAAGAAATGCTTTCGACCCCAAAGTCCAATACTAAAAGATATGGCGAAAAAAAATATATGAAAGGGGAGGGGAAACTTAAAAAAAGAGAGTTTAAAAAGACGGAGAGACTACCCTCCTATTGCCGTTCAACTAAACAAAAAAGGGGCAAGAAAAACAAACCAAGGAACAAAGAAAAGAGAAGAAAGAACGTTTTTTCAAAAAGACGATGTCTTTCTCCTTGTTGCTTTTTAGTAGGTCGCTACAGGAGTAAGCTGCTGCATCTCTAAGTGAGAACAGAAATAAGGGGGGAGGACGTCTTAAAAGGGAGGTGGACTGGACCACAGATTTATAGCACCGTATCACCAACCCCTTCTCTGCCTCCGCACTGCCGGGTGTGCAGCTGCTCTGCCAGGCTCCTATCCCGGGCAGCACGCGCGGAAGTATACGCCGAGTCGCGCCACAACGTAACTTGCTCATCGGCCCAGAATTCTGATTGGTCCAGATGCTCTCATTGAACACGCCCAGGCAAGGCCGCGTGATGCAATTGGCTAGGAGCTTGTGTCACTCTCGAGAGCTCAATGGAGTCCCGTTTCAAGGTAAGTTGTGCGGGGAGGTACACACTTAACACTGGCGGCGAAGGGAAATGCAAGAAGCAAAAAGCAAAAGGAGATGGGGAGAGAGCAACGTGGGAGGGTTGGAACTGTACTATCAGAGTTTGCGATATGGCACGATCTTCTTTCCTCTTAAATCTTTCTGGTTCGGAAAGATTCATTTTCTTTGCCATCACTGCTGCATCTATGGCATATTTCTTTATAACATTAAACTCTGTCCGGTATGTATGAGTCATTGAGAGCTCCGTCTCTTTGATCTGAGTGAAAGGGATGAATGTACATCCATTACTTGCCCGCATGCCTTTTTCGATTTGTGTTCCAGTATTATATATTAGATATTAGGCAATCGTATGTCTTTATTTTATTATAACCATATTGCAAATTTTTTGGCATATGTTTAAAGCGTTTTTAGAGGATAAGAATGAAGTGAGAAATGTTTTCAGATAAAGCTGCACAGTTTGAATTAGCTTTCACTACATGATAGAATAAAAAAGTATAAGATAAGCATCCTCTCCAGGAAATGAGGTGCTGAGTTCAGCTAAGGTCCTTCACTTGAGGTATATGATAACTCTCAAAAAGAGCAACTGTATATAAAATTAGAACAAGATATTCCTGTATTTGCTGGCAGTATATTGCTTGGGCCACACATGCATTTGTTGATAGTAAAGATAGTTGAACCTTTATCAGGACTCTTTCTCTGAGGGTTTAGAAAGTTAACCAGATGGCCAAGTGCAATCAATGCTTCTGCTTTATTACAAACCCATATTTTAATAACAGTCAGGAGGCTGAAATGTAGTTTTATTCATGATATTTATTTCTTCCTCCAAGTGAAATTGAGGTACTCAGGATCGTCTCAATGTATAAGTAGAGATAATATTCACTTGCCCTGTTCTTTTCCAGGCAGAATTTCTTCTTTCAGTCTTCAAAGATAGCACCAGCTTCCTAGACAGTACACTTACATTTCTTAAACAATATAATATATCTTCTCTAGAGGCACATGCCATTCTGAAAGGAATTCTTTTATCTGCTTATATACTTCTAATGGCTATCTTTGAGGATACTGGAAAAGAGAAGGCACAGGTAAGAGTCAGAGGTTGCAGCAAGATGGGGTCTCATGGAAGAGAAAGGGATAGATGGTCCCAGAGCAAAATGACTTGGAAGCGAGGAGTAAGGTAAATCAGTGTTCCTTGAGAGTGTCCTTGAGTGTTTATAAATGATTAATGGCAAAGAATAGAAGACCTGTTTATCTCCCATATAGCCCGCATAACAATGTCAGAGTTCTCTTACTTTGCATTACAATAACTGGGGTTTCAGAAAGAAGGCCTGAACCTATAAGTTATCTTACAATTAACATTTACAGTTATCAAGCTCCTATCCCCTAGTTTTTATATAACAACAGCTCCTGAGGGTCTTAGTTTCAACATAAAATTATTCTCTAGGCCTAGGTAAAACTCTTGGCAGGAAGAAAGGAAAAGCAGTTTGAAGAAATGGAGTCAAGGAGCTGGGGGAAAAACTAACTCCATCTCACCTATAACATCTGTAGTAACTGAAGATTGGATTTGTTGTCATCCTTCACCCTTAGTTCAACACAAAGACATACTCATAAATAAATACAATTTGAGTAAAAGTAAAATGCTACTTGATTTGATCAAACTTATTTATGAAATGAATTTTCTTTTCACCTTGTTACCATGCCCTTAATATTGAATTGAGTGCAAGTGGTCCTGTAATCTTATCATTTTGAAAAAAAAATCTTTATTCTTATGTAAGTGTCCTAAAACTGGGTGGGAACTAATACTTTTAATTTTTTGGTGCATGTTTTTATCCACAAGAAAACTGGTATATTGTAGTGGTTGTATTTTCCAAAAGGAAAAGGGGATACAGAAAGCTGGGGATGGTATGAAGCGATGAAAATCTAGCATGTGTGTTATGTAAAGAAATTATAAGCAAAATTGTAAACTTGTCCATTCAAATGCTATTTTCTGTAGACTCTATATATATCCTTTCAGTCTTTGGGGACAGAAAAGCAAATATTTTCAAAATACTATCATCCTTAGCTTGTCTTTTCTATGTGAGTAAAATGGACTTAAATTACTCAAGAAATTATCTTAAAATGCTAGTTTACTTCCTCAATCAAACAAATGTTTTCTTTAAATTTAAAAACTTTAAAATAGATGCATCGTAAGCAACCTATACTTTTCCAACTTCTAAAAATAAAAACAGAATACAGTTACTTTAAAACAGGTAATATCTGGATGTAGATTTCACTTTGAAACTCAGTGTCATAGCTTGAATCATTAAGATATACTATCTTGCAATTAATGAAGGCTATGTACAAACATCTGAGTCCCCAGGAAGTAAATATGTGATCAGCCTCTCTTCATTCACAGTTAAGAAAAAGAATTATCCACAGCATCTAAACTTGCATTAGCAAAGCATTTAAAAGACACCTGTGGTATGCTTAAGTCATGTTGGCTCTGACATCTCTTCAAAGTCCTTGGCATTATTTTGAACTGCAGCAGGAAAGAGGAAAGATTGAGACTCATGAGAGCTTTGGGGAAAAGTCTGCTGTGGATAAAGTGGCAAAAAATACTAATAATAAAATAAAATTTAAAAGGTTCTCAAAGCCGAAAAAGTAATGAATTCAATTGATGACATTTCTAATGTTTCTTTATAAAAGAACATTCACATCAATACATAAAATTATTGTGGATGATATCGCCTAGGATAAATAACTCTCTTGCATTAGTTCTCCTACGGATGGGGGAGGGAGTGATTTTAGCGTTTCATAATAAAGGGCACTGAAAACTACTTGTAACTCTTTCTTTAAAAAATAGTAAATAAAGCAAGTACATAAATCTAAGTAAATTAATTCACATTATTTAGTTTCGGGCAATAATTTCAAACAGTATACCCTCCCAGATAAATAAAAACATTCTGTGTTGGTTTGTCAGACTGTTTGGTGGTGGGTTGTGGTTCCTAATATTGGAAATATGATAGTTTAATACCTGCCTGAGAAATACAGGTATTATAAAACTTTCTGATTACTCTTATTTAATCTTCTTAAAGTAGCATGTCAACTTTACTTCCACAGCTTACAAAACAAGGGGGGGGAAAGTGGAGAAAATTTACACCAATACGAGTTTAAGCCCTGGCGACCCGACAAGAGAAGGAGGCAAGAATTAGCACCATGGACAGAGACAAACAGCCCCTGAATAAAGGTTTGGAAAGCTTGCTAGTGTTTTCTCCCTTCCTGTAAAACTCGGAAACTGCACTTCTTGGGAACGTTTCATTTCACGAACTTTGAAAAAAGAAACGGTCTCACTCCATAGAAACACGTTTATTTTGAATTGGGCTGGCTTTTGTTAGTCCTCGGTCATCGTAACAAACCTCCAGGAAAGTTACAGCCGGGAATTCGCGGCGCACACCTTCCACTGTCCTCTTCTACATAAACTCTCTTGCCCGTTTGAACCTGCCTTTCATTAGTGTTCACGCAAAATAAATGCAAATCCAGGTTGTCTTCTAAAAGTCTGGTAAACCTACTCCAGAGGTTTTAATCCTTGAAATTCCTAATGGGAATCGCAGGAAAATCTCCTCCCTGCTCACCCTCTCTCCCCTACCCTAAGTCTTCTCGGAATCCCTCCATCCCCTAGCAAAGGGCAAAACCTTTTATCCAAAGGTGAGTGACCTCGAAGACTATTTTGCAAAGAACGATTTAGGGACAGTGCCAGGGGCGGCAGTGAGCAGGGTCACAAAAATTCTTTACTTTCTAATTGCCTTGTATCTTTAAACTCCCGTTCCAGGGGGAAGACTGTAAAGTATGAACACACTCAACGAGGATCCCCCCTAAGTCCTGAGACCACTGTTGACTCTTAAAGACGTGGACACTGTTCATTTAAATGTTTAAACAATAAATGTCACCAGTGTGCGGTAAATCTTTGAGGTGATCCTTAATTGCTCTCCACTCTATCCCCACCACTCCACCTACAACACATTTTTTTTTCCTGGGCAAAATGTGCATGAGGTGCATTGTCCTCATAGATAATTTGTCCGCAGGTTTTCAGACTAAGAAATGTTGTACCTCCCCCAGAGTCTCTCGGAAAATATATTTGCAGCCTCGGACCCGCGATCATTTATGTCAAGGTTTCCACAAACGTCCTCGGATTTTCTTCCCCTCTTTGACTTAGTAGCAACTTTTAGGAGGATAAGCTCACGTCTTTCCTCCGCATAGGAAGGAGCATCTAGGCGACCAGAGGAGGGTGAGGTAAGAAAAACTGGAGGTGAGAAAGGTCAAATCACAGCCTTGTGTCCGTTTCTTTCAGAGATGCTAACAGCCTTCTCTAAGCTTCCTCCCGGAGCCGAAACATTTCATGCAAAATTAATACGAGTAATTAAAAATAGCAGTTTCGAAAGTTAAAGAAAACCATCTGTCTCAGCTGGTTGCATTCAGTCTTTTCGCCGTCCCTTTACCGGGACCTGGAAAGAAACGGTTTTTCTGCTTCCGATGCTCGGAGGTTCTTTCTTATATTGAAGATTTATGTTTCCACTTGTGTGCAATGCACGTCTAATTTGAAATAATAAAGTAGGGCTGAGCAGTCAGTCAATCAGAGCTATCAACTGCGCTCGCACGCCGCCCTGCCCCCCACCCCCCTCTGGTCGAACTATTTCCCTCCTCCTCCTCTCACTCTCTCTGCCCTCCCTCTCTGCTTCCCTCCCTCCTCTTCTCACACACACTCACAGTCCCCCCCCACCACCACCACCACCACGTGTGTTCAGATCAAACCCTTGCCCCACAGAGCAAGTGACGGCACCGGGGCACAGTGACAAAGGCGGAGTTTGTATCAGAAGAAGACTGAGGCCCGGGGAGACACAGCGGCTAGAGAAACAGCTGTCTTATCAGCCGGCTGCAGAGATGGAGATGGCTCGAGAGGTCCTCAACAGATAATCACTTGAATAGGTTTGCAAAGCGCCAAACTTCACGCTTGATAAGGCCAACCCAATGTAGAGAGCAGCCCAGATCCTGCTCCATTCTGTTTTATCTGGGCTGTAAATTAAGAAATTGAAATTCAGGTGGCAGAGGCAGCAAGCAGTCTGCTGATAGACCGCTAAAGTAAACTGTCATTAAAATGCTTTCGGCAGGCAGAAAGGGGGCGCCTGGAATGGTGGGATATTGTTTAAAATATGTGTGTGCGTGTGTGTGTGTGTGTGTGTGTGTGTGTGTGTGTGTGTGGAGAGAGAGAGAGAGGGAGGGAGGGAGAGAGAGATAGAGAGAGCTGGTCAGAGAAAAAAGCCCAACAAGATTAAAAATGATCTGAGTAGGGAGGCACAAAGTTAATACAGTGAGGAATGGAGAACAGATCCGGCATCTGGCCATAATTTCTAGTCATAGCTATTATAAATAAACAGTTCGAAAAGTATTAAGGTGTGTGAAGTTTGGTGTGTAGAACTTAAGTAACAAGTTAAACCAGCCTAGTATAAAAGGGCATTCCATCTTTATCAAAGCAGGGAGGGAGCAGACATGTATTCCAAATGGACTCAAAAGTTCTTTCCTTGTGAGAAAAGCAGGTAAACTGAACACAGAGGAGTTAACCCTAAACTGAGGTTTTCCCTGGTCTTTTTATTAAAGCAAGAGGGCTACAATGATTCCAGGATGATTTTTAGAGTGGCCTGAGACGTCATTAACTACAGAAAGGAACCTGCTTAAGTTACTTACAGAAATGCTAGTTACAAGTCCCTCCCTCTTTACCCAGATAAATATATAGGCTAATTTAGGAAACTCAATTTCCAGGTGTGTGTTTTGACACCACCTGATTGTTACTGCACGCATTACATTCATTACATTCTTCCGTCTGCTTTTAAGGATGTGAAATTGGAAATGGCATGCATTATTTAAATAACTCTCATTTGGTATGTATAATGACCATATAGTCAGTGATCTTGTTGTCTTGACTCACTATTGACTAAATACTATACTTGGTCTTTGCAGCTTAAGTGGTTTACAAGTCCACTGGTATCCATTTATGATATATATAGAGGATGCATTGAATTTTTTACAACTTCATTTATATTTTAAGTCTTAGCAGCATTTATAAAAAGGTACTTTCAACTGACAACATATAAAATTAATATAGTTTTAGAAAATTGGCTTTTATTTTGTTTATCCCCCCCCCAAAACTTTGACCAATTTCAGAATGCACTTAACTGACAACATAAAGGCTACTTAAGTCACTTTGAATGCAAAACATTAGAGATGAATTTGTTGGAAAAGGAGATGAGAAAAATTGTAAGATACTAACATATGTTTTAATGATTATTAAACTATTTGAATATATTTTAAACAATTATTCTAAACTTTGAAGTTGTCATCTGATTACTCAGGGTGATAAACAAATGTTAGTCATGGAAACTCAAAGATATTCCTATAAATAGTTACATGCAAAAATCCTTCATACCTACACAGAACATTTTTTTTTTAAATCCAAATGTGTAGGTAAATAAATGTGGTGTGCATCCTTTAATAAAAGAGACATTTACAGTTATGTAAGCTAACTTTTCCCATCCATGCCATCATTTGCCATGTTATACTGGTTTAAATAGTGACTACTACATAAGCATTAAGAAACACTTTTATTGAATTGCAGCAGTTTAGGCATCATTATATATCTTTAGATAATCAGATAATAAGATATTTTTGTTTGTTACAAATACTCAAGTAAGTTTAAATGACCAAATTTAATAAACCACTTTAACCGTGATTTTCATTTTTGCTTTTCTCAAATTGTATTCACAATGGAGAGCTTAAACCATCCTTTGTTAGTACACTAGGATTTTTCAAAGGTGTGAATTTGCATATGGGTTAAAAGATACATTCTCACTAAAGTTTAAATGCAGTAAAAGATATCGCATACATTTAAATTGTTATAGATTTCAAAAGAAGATCATTTTTAAAAGACATTTTTATTAAACAAAAAATTTAGCATGAAATTAATATTAAGAACAACTTTTCTCTCATTCTTGTTACCTATGAATTATATACATGGTTTCTAAAGGCATAACAATTCATTATGAATTATGAGAAGGAATAGAGTCCCAAAATGTAAAATTTGCTTTTAAAAATAATTTTCTATTATTAATTCCTCTCTATGGAAAATGGAATAGTATATTATTAAAGCAGTATTCCTAGTATGTTGAAAGGCAAAAATTTTAGAAGCTTTTGAATCATCTAAAACTTATAACATTTTTATTTACAACTGATCACAATTCTATTACCAAAAATATCAGGCATGACTGTGTATTTTCAGATATGACATTTATCATCAGGTAAGGGTCAAATGAGTGATACATAATCAGTTCCTGTTTCTAAATATTTATTCATCTTTGAGAAAAGGCCCATCTCAATTTGATTCAAGCATCTTCCGAGTTCCTTTAACTGTGCCAGAATAATAGAATTAGAGACAGTAAGTCCTTAAAGGAAATTGGACTCATTTTTAGGAAATTCTAATAAAAAGAAAATTTGGGAGGTTTAATAATTAGCACGTTGTAGAAAACATAGTCACACTATGTTTGGGTTTTGTTGTTATTGCTTATCCATCTAAATTTTTGAATAATATATCTATATAAAATTTTTAATATTATAGATTGTTACAGAGTTCTTTAAAACAGAAATTGTAATGTTATCCCAGGATCTACAGTTCTGAACATTGTTAAGAGCGTGGGCTTTCACTTCAGACATATGTATTTGAATCTGACTCTACCATTATGTGGCCTTGGATAAGTTATTACTTTACTGCTTCTACACCTTGGTTTCCAGATCTGTAAAATGGTGATAATGCCTAATTTGGGATCACTGTTAGGATAAATGTAATCATGAGTATAAAATTCCCAAACTTCCTGGCTTAAAGGAAACAGTCCATATATGGTAACTACACTGATAAGCACCAAAAATGGTAACTTAGCACATTAATTTGATGAACCCACAATTAGAATTCCTGCTTTTGCATACTGTGGCCTAAGTGTTTTCACTTAGTCACACTAATATATTTCATGATAAATATCTTCTCACTTTTCTAATTGCAAGCAAGTTTAAAAGGCCCCAAATGTTATAAAATCTTCTGTCTGCCCTGTTATGTGACTTCAATATATTTCACAATACAATTTCATGATTCACCCATAAAAAGTTGTGGGTCTTCAAAAAGGAACTGAGTCTGAGATCCCATTTGATTGATATAATAATAAAAACACCTTAGATTTTTATAGTACCTTTTATCACAAAAAGCTCAATGCACTTTTACATATTTATCATTGTAACCCCAGGAGGTAAGGAGGATATAAATTACTTCTCATTTTCAGGGGCATAACAGAGGCATGAGGAATTTAGGTAACATTTCTAAGGTTAATAGAAATGAAGAACAGGTTTTCTGAATGTCAGTCTTCCTGCAATCTGTTATTCTCTTTGGCATTAATTATGGCTATTGTTACTTTTAGTTAGGCTCAAATGTTAATGTTTGGCATTAAGTATAGCTTATAATTCAGTTAATTACTTAATGAAATCAGGTTGAATCAAATATATACCATCATGGTCTAATCAAATTAAATATTTGATTCTATGTCAAGACATTTTCATTATTCAATTATATGTATTTTTTCTCCCCCCCCCCTTTTTTTTTTTTTTTAACTTTTTTTTTTTCAACGCAACATTTTGCTCAATGCACTTTTACATATTTATCATTGTAACCCCAGGAGGTAAGGAGGATATAAATTACTTCTCATTTTCAGGGGCATAACAGAGGCATGAGGAATTTAGGTAACATTTCTAAGGTTAATAGAAATGAAGAACAGGTTTTCTGAATGTCAGTCTTCCTGCAATCTGTTATTCTCTTTGGCATTAATTATGGCTATTGTTACTTTTAGTTAGGCTCAAATGTT